GCCTCCCAGCAGCCGGCAGGGCAGGAAGGGCAGCGGCGCCTGTTCCGCCGCCCATCCGCCTCGCCCGCCCCTTCCGCCGCCACCGCCCCGCGGCCCTACGGCAGCGGAGCGCCGCCTTCCTTCGCTTGCTTTCTCACAAGCAATTTAAATATGCAGAAATACCCCCTCTTTCGCATAAGAAGATGCAGTTGGCAAGCAGAGGGACGTGATAACATTTAGTACTTTTTCCTTAGATCTAAACGGGTTGTGTGGAAAAAAGTAACATGATCTCTGTTCAGGAATATTCTCAGTGCCACACTGTTGGAAAAGATGGAAAGCACAAGACAGGGCCAAATCTTTGGGGTTTATTTGGCTGTACAACAGGGCAAGCTGCAGGATTTTCTTACTCAGGTCCAAACAGAAACAGGCAAAACTAAAAGGTGACATATAAGGTGCAGTGGTTGAGGGGACATACATTTAAAAAAAAAAAGTTTATCTTTAGAGGTGTGCTAGCCTTACAAGGATTTACTAGCACAACTGTCGACTTTGCAGTACTGCAGATGAATTTGAACTACAGTTCTACAGAAACAAAAACCCTCACTCCCTGTATTAAAATATTGCTACATTTTCCAGTACTCAGTACACCAGGTCAAAAGGTTTATAGCTTTCTCCGAGCACTGTAGTTCCAATAGGGAGATTTTAATCTCTAATTCTGGAGAGCTTTTCAGATTTTGTTTGCTGGTCACTACCCTCTACTGGCATCGTGGTGTTCTGCAGTTGTTTTCCTTGACTAAATACCATCCCCTACTAGTATGCTATGACTTTTGGTTTTCCTTGTGCTTTTCACAGAGAAAGTATGAACAGTGGAACATCTAAAAGGGAAATTATTCTGTGTGAGTTTCATTGGTTTTCTTCATATTACTTGAATATAAATTATATTAATTGCATTAAGCCGTTAATTACAAATACAGTCCTGTGTCCCATGATTTGGGTTTTTTTCTGGTTACTAAAGTGCTTTAGAATTGTGTGGCTTTTTTTTCCCTGTGATTTCTAGGAATCGTTTTGTGACATCCACTTTATACTGGAATTTCCTTCAATATATCATCAGCATATAGTAACTATTTTTTACAGTGAAACTGTAGTGAACAAATCATACAGACGTTAGTACAAGTTTTCAAAAGAAGGCAAACAAATTGATATCTAAATTCACTTTAGACAATGGGAAGAGTCAGCTCTGGAGGACAGAAGAGAAATGTGAACATGCCATTACAAGTATTGCAGTAGTCTTCAGTACAAGAGCAGGCTTCTGCTGGAAGAGACAGTTTTTAGAAGGTTTAGAAGGAAAAAATAATGGTTTTTCAACTTTTGTCAAGAGATGCCAGGAACTGACTGTTGATAGCCCTTTTTCTAATGCCCTTAAATGGAGTACAGCCTTGAGAAATTCAATGTTAATATCATGCTTATTTCAAAAAATTGTGAAATTAAATTTGGATCTTCTGAATATTGGAATTACAAAGATATTCACATAGTTTAGAAGTAGTATATAAGTATACTTATATACTATAAGTATACTTATATAAGTATATAAGTAGTTGTATATGAAATGATGCAAAGAACTGCAACTCTTCATGATGCAAAAAAGATTTATATTTTACTTATTAAAGTGAAACAAAGTATACCTTGTGCATTTTATATTATACATCATTTATGCTCCCATCCTCCTGGATTCTATCCTTCCCCATTTCAGACTGTTTAGAGTGATAAAGAATCTCCCCAAATGGTAAAATTTTCTCAAGTGGTTTTCCTGATTGCATTTTGAGGAGTGCTATTCCACTGCCTTTCTGAACAGAGAAACACACTGCACCTGAGAAATGCACTGACATTTCTCCTTGTGATTCTTTTAGGGCATCTTGGGGCATTTTTGTATGTTCTACCCAAGGAAACCAGGTGCAACTGGCTGAAACCTGCACTAAGTTGGCATTGTGCATCCCTTTTGACAAAAGGTGCATCATACCTCAGAAGCATCAGATGCTTGTACAGTGGCAGCACAATCCCATGGCATTGACAAAATCCATTTTCCTACACTTGCCCTCCCACAAAAGGCTGAAACAATCTATCTCAGACCA